CAATAAATCAAAAATGAGCCGGGCGTGGTAGCGCGCACCTGTAATTCCGGCTACTCGGAAGGCTGAGGCGGAAGGATCGCCGGAGCCCAGCGGGTCGAGGCTGCGGTGGCCGGGAGTGGCCACTGCACTCCAGTCTGGGCGACAGAGTGAGACTCCAATTAAAAAAATAAAATAAAACATTCTGAGTATCACCCTGCTGGGAGCACAGAAAGATGCCTGCAGAAGGCTTCATATTAGCCCAGAATCATGACTTTTCTCATTTTTAACTTCTGTGCTGCCCCAGGTTTCCCAAAAGGTACAGTGGATATCAAGGCAAAAATGCTGACATGACATCAACAAGAAAGATACACCCGCGTGAACGTTCACTCACGTACCACAGCCTTAAAGTGAGTTTGGCCTGAACTGGGGCACGGGCCTGAAAAAGTTAAACGTACCTGCTCTTGACTAAGGGTCAGGGCCAGAGTTCGGGTTAGGATTAGGAAAGTCTTACCCATAGTTAAAAATGCTGTAATATGAAGGCGGACTTTCACGGGGAAGGACACTGCTGGCCCCAGGACTTCGTGTCACCGCAGAAGCCGAAGACTCTGGAAAGTAGGGCGGTGGAGGGGGTGGGAATACTATCACCGAATCACCTAAGGAAACACAATATTCAGTTGAAGAAAGGCAGGTCAGCAAAATTAGCAAGTGCAGAATAAATTAATTCTACATCTGGCTCATCTATATAAAGGGTCAAACAGCTGCAGCTAACTCCAGAATTTTAAAAGGGGCCCATTAAATTTAGAGCGACAGAAAAGTAGAATCGGCTACCAGGAGATGGGGCCAGGGTGGGAGGGGGAGGGGAACGAGGAATTCCTGCTTCATGGGCAGAGTTTCTGTTTGGGATGATGAAAAGGTTCTGGAAATTGATGGTGAGGATGGTTGCAGAACACGGTGAAAGTGTTTGAGGCCCCTGAATCGCACGTGTGAAAATGGTTAAAGTGGCAAATGCTATGCTCCATACATTTTACCACAAATTTCTTAAAAGTGAGCCTATATCTCAAATTCCGTGTGCTCCCGTTACAGGATAGCAGGAGGCCAGCACTTCACGGCAAGTCTGAGCGGAAGCGTTTCTGGGAAGTGTTTGCTAACAAGTTCCCGCCCCTTCTCTGGGGTGTGCTTTTGGCATTTTCAACCGACAACGTCTCCTCATCGCAAGTTAGCCGTTGGGTACAGCGCCGTGTTCCTCGAGTGTAGTTTCAGCCTCTGAACAAATGACAGTAGACCACGCTACAGCCCATCATCGTTACCTGCTGGAGTTTCACCCATGTATGAATGAAGATCCGACTCAAAGAAAAGTGTGGCTTTTTGTGCTGGTGTCTGTTGCTACTGTTCGCTCCAGGACACATTCCTGTGTTTTGAGGAGGGGAATCTTGGGACCAGACGCAAGCACTAATTTGTATTCTGAGTCCAATACAAAACGCACCGCACGAGTTGCCCAGAACATGGTAGACATGTGCCAGCCCTACTACAGGGACCTGAGGAAGGTCCCTGCCTGATGAGCTGGCAACAGCTGGTGATAGTTCAGGAAAAGCAGAGGAGAGACGGCTTTACTTCCCTGTAAGGAGACTGGTTCGCACCGGCAGCATATCTGACGCTTGTCTAGGTTGGCACAGGATTCTTTAAAGTGACGGGGGTTCCTGTCGGGAGTGGATGTGGTGTGGGGAGCAGACGAGCACTGTCACCGTCGCAGGCCTGGCGTCAAGGCTCCAAGCGAAGGCCAGGTCTCGCTTGGTAACTCTGCATCCCAGGCAAAGGCAGGGGATGCAGCCGGCTACACGAAGCAGTGTCTCAGATGCCCGCACACCCGGGTGCACATAGCATAAAGAAAGCCATAGCCACCACAAGATAACCACGATAACAACTCGCATTTAGGTGGCAACAAAATTCCATGATGGCTCCCTTACAGACCCTGAATCCCTTCCAACGTACCTTGTGCTTAATTATAAAATAAACATGAGCTAGCTCGGGGTCGCTTCTCCTCCGTCAGAGGACAGTGTCCCACCTGGCCCAGCTTTTCTCTACGTCTTTGTGTCTGTGTCTTTCTTGTCCTCTCGTCACTCTCTCTCGGAGCCCTCAAGGCAGCCGCGTGGGCTGCGACGGGTTCCAACCCAGAGCAAGCGATGGGACTTCCCTCGGCCTCAGCCACCACAGCTGCGAGCTGCAGGCCGGGCGGTGCCTGCGCCAGAGGACAGGCCAGGAGGACTGGATGGGACGGTTCATGTCCAGCAGTTAACACCGTGCAGCGCACACAGCACACTCAGCCCTGACACCTGCCCAGGTGCTGTCTTCCCACACCATCAGCTAAGAAACACCCATCAGGCCGCCTGGCCAGTGGCTCCACTCTCCACCCTCCAAGGCAGCCTCAGTCGCTTCCCCAAGGGAATTCAGCCTTTCAGAAAATGCATTAACTCCATCGCTCCTGCAAGGCGATGGCAATTAGAGCTTAAAATACATCCCGTTCATCTAAACCTGAGAGAGCAGAATGGTTGTCTTGGGATTCTCATTGAATTTTTCAGAAGGTCTTGGTAGGTCAGGGAAGTGGAGGTTGACTGTTCACTTGAATTACGCACTATGGAATAAAGAATCTGTGAAGGAAGCTTCTAGGCCGGCCAAGCGCCTTTCAAACGCAAATAAGGAAATGCTCAGAGTAACCAACCCTGCTATCTCCAAGGCCCTGCATCCACACCTTGCACCTGCTGTCCCCGGAAAAGGCCTCTGCCCTGGGAGTTCCCCTTCACTTGTCCTTCAGAACTTGCTGTCCTCTGTGAGTTGACAGCGTACACACTTCTCAAGGGAGGGCAGTATCCAGGATCCAGCACTGAGTGTGCCAACAACGAGGAGAGCATGCTTCTGAGATTCTGAAAATATAAACCCTCCCCCACAACATCAAAGGAGCCAAAAAACAAGGTGCTATGAAGACAGATTTTCATAGGCTCCTTGGAACTTAAAGGGTTAAGTTGAAAAGCTTTTAAATTATGCAGTAAGGCCTGGCATGGTGGCTCATGCCTGTAGTCCAAGCACTTTGGAGGCCAAGGCAGGAGAACTGTTTGAGCCCAGAAGTTCAAGACCAGCCTGGGTAACATAGTGAGACCTCATCTCTACAAAAACAATTTTTAGTTACTCTGGTGTGGTGGCACACACTTGTAATCACAGGTATTTGGGAGGCTGAGGCTGAAGGATCACCTAAGCCCCAGAGGTCATGATCATGCCACTGCACACCAGCTAGGCAACAGAGTGAGACCCTGATTCAATCAATCAATCAATCAATCAATCAATCAATAATGCAGTGCCAACTTCAGGATAAGGTTGAGGAGCAGTACCAGTGGTTCTGCCCCCTGTCCCTACCCCGATTCCAGCCACTAGGCAGGAGGTAGGGCCGGTAACTCCCCTGCCGGCAAACCAAAGAGCACCCCTCAAAATGTTCTCACTAAGGCCGGGTATGGTGGCTCATGCCTGTCATCCCAGCAGTTTGGGAGCCCATGGGTTCGAGACCCGCCTGGGCAACTTGGCAAGACCTCATCTCTACAATAAGTCAAAAAATTAGCAGGGCGTGGGAGCTCGCGCCTGGAGTTCTGGCTACGTGGAAGGCTGAGGCGGAAGGATCGCCGGAGCCCGGCAGGTCTACGCTGGGGTGGCCGTGAGCATGCTACTGCACTCCAGCCTGGGCAATGGAGTGAGTCTCCAACTCAATAAAAAGAAAAGTTCTCACGCAGTGGGAGGATATGAGCCTTTGATGGACGTATTCACTCGTACCCCGCTGTGTTCCCCCAAAGGACGAAGAACACCTGTAACTTTGGGCGCGCCCTCTCCTCCCGTAACAACTCCTAAGAACACTCGGTGAAGGATGAGATAGTCACGCCCCGCGCCCTGGGCAGGAGTCATGCCAAGGCGATACTGCGAGCATGCCCACCTACCCACGTTTGGGCCCGCTCTGCCACCGGCTGGCTTGGGACCTTGAGTGCGTCATTTGATCCAGCTGTGCCTCACTTTCTTCACAGCGAACATGGAGATACTGAGAGTGCCTGCGTCCTTGGGTTGCCGTGGGTGTGAATGACTTTCACACAGGGGCACTTTAAGAGCACACATCAAAACACTTAGATGGGTGTTGGGCACAAGAATAGGCACCATATATGTGTCCGCCGTTATTAACACATAATCAATAGGGTGTGGTCACCACAACTCTGTAAGTGCACAAATAAGCCAACGGGGAGCACCAACCCTGACTCAACACAAGGAACGGCTACAGATCCGTCCACCCTTCCTCCCCGAGGCCGGCCACACAAGACCAGCAGCCCACTCCTCCCCTGGGGCTGCAGCCAGTGAACCCTGCCGGTGCCCACAGACAGCCCCAGACACGAGACACATCTCCCTTGCCACCTCCCCTCTGCACCCTTGTGGCTCTTGCTCTGCGGTCCTCCCTTCCTAGCCTTCTGAATGTCGATGTCCTCGGAGCTTTACCCTTGCAAAAGTAGGAGACTGAACAGAAGTGATTTCAAGTGAGCCGAGACGGGGCTTTTCCTTGACTGTGTGAAGCGGAGGCCACAGCTCCCAATGCTGTTCCGTGGAGGCTAACCCTGGGAACCGTGCTCCATCTCTCCTGCAGAACTCACTTTTCTCCACGGGAGAAAGAAGTGACAGGTGCTGTCACATCCCATCTCGATCTACGCCCTCACTTCCCAGCTTTGCCCCAGCCCCACAGCCAAGGATGCAGTCCCAGAAAGGAAGGACGAGGCCGAAACAGCTGAGGTCCCTCAAAACGCCTGAAGGCTGGCGGACACGGGACAGATCAGAACCCTAGACCGTCTGATGGGCTCTTAGAGACACACTGCTCATTTTATAGAGCTATAAACGAAGGCAGAAGAGGCTAAGGACTCATCAAGGACAGCCAGCCAGTGACAGCCAGGGAGCAGAACCCGAGTGTCCCACAAGTAAAAGTGCGAGATGGTTTTGGTGTGAGAATAACAGGCAAAACAGGGCCACTTAGTGGGTCCCTAAGGTGATGGGAGGCTCCAAAGCTGTCCTGTTGGTTCTCCTCACTTTCCTCTTAAGTTACTCTGTGATCTCGGTCAAGGTCACCACTTCACATCCCAATGCTTTTGTCAAATAATAAAGAGTGGCTGGGGGGAATGGTGTGCACAAGGTTCCCACAGGGCTTCCCACGGCAGCAGCACCGTGCAGACGTGGTGTGCGTGTATCTGTGCGCATGCACGCCTGTGTGTGTGCACACACACATGCTCATGTGTGAGAGAGGGAGCAGGAAGCAGGAAAGAGAATCTAGACCAGACCCCAGGGCAGCCCAGTGACACCCTGATGCCAAGCCAAGGCGATATGAGCAAGTACATAGATGACACCACCCACCTACAGTGACCTGGACGGGCTCCGCACTCTGGGTCTGACCCTCTTCCCTTTCAGAAGCATCCCGGCCAGCACTCAAGTTGTTTCTCTTCTTCACGTGGGCCACCACAAAGAAGCACAGCCCCACAAGCACAACCAAGGGTCCCATGATCTGCAGGGAAAGCAGCCCACAGGCCTGGGGCTCTGCGTCGGCCGTGTCCGTCTCGTTCAGGGGCTCCCGTCCCCAGCTGGAGCCACATCCCGGGACCCAAATGCCCAGGACGCTGATCAGCATGCCGCTGGTCAGGAACAGGAAGCCGACGACGAGGCACTGGGCGAACTGGCGGCTCTCTCCACAGATGAACACGC